ATTCGCAACTGCTAATTCGGATACTATTTTTCGATTATCCTTGGAAGACAAAACGAAATAAATACTTGAAGCCATAAGTATGTATTTGTTTGTCGGTGAAGATTTGCCATTATCTTTGATAAACAATTTTTGTTGATAACACCGTATTGCTTATCTCTTCGACAGTGAATTTTTCACAAAATCATGTCAGAGTCCGATAATAATTTATCCCAAAATAATTCGCCTTTTTCACTTCTTTTGCAGCACGTAGCCTGTAAGTCGATCAGACTTTCACATATTATGCCATGGCATTTCTATGATTTGCTCTAAAATAAAACGGAATAGTATGTAGCAGAATCTCAAAAAGCCAATAAAAAGTGCAGCACACATATATGGTTGGTACATGTGACTTCCAGTCCCCGTCAATTTGAGACAGAGAGCCCCAAAACACATTTCAGAACATAACCCCCTAAAATTACTCTGAATGAATATTTTTTCATTAAAACGAATAGTGATATCATGACCGCATATGTAACATCAAAAATACATTAAATAATATGTATTTATGGAAAACTCTAGTATTAGAGACTTTGAATGTCCATGACAATCTTGTTAAATGGCCCACAAGAGTGACTGCGAACAGCATTACAACAATTGATAACGTTTTTGTAAATTTCAGCAACTCAGGTCTAACGTGTGTATTTGACAACACCATATCGGATCATCGTACTGTGTTAGTGGAGGTCAACTGTAATCTCTCTAATGTAAAGAGTTTTTGCAGAAAAAGACAGTTCACCGAGAATTCTATAAAAAGTTTTATCAATGACCTTTCACTCGTTGACTGGAATCAGGTGTACTGTAATGTGAATACCAATATCGCTTTCGATACTTTCATAGATGTATTCATGTATTCATTTAATATAAACTTTCCAGTGGTGAATCGACAAATAAACAAAAATAAAAATAAAAATAGATGGATAAATCACGAAGTACTGCAATCTAGTACAAACCTAAAAAATCTACATTTCTTATCTAGAACTTTCCCAGAAATGCGTGAATACTATACTGAACAAAAAAAGGAACATATTAAACTTTTAAAATCAACCAGAAAAAACTACTATCAAACTATAATTTCATCTTCTGATAATCCAACAAAAAGTGCATGGAGAATTATATCTGATTTTACTAATAAAAACAACTCAAGGGAC